TTATTCTAAATGCTATTAGATATTTCAGGTACATAGTGTTATGTAACTCAAATATTTGAGTTTCAAAGTTATTTCAACGATTAATTCAACAATGCACCCACACTGCTCTTTAATCACAATCTGTAAGTGTCTGAATGGCTTAACCTGAATGATAACGAGGCAACACCACAGTTTAAGGTTATGATTTATGGTTCTAAAGAGTTTGTAAATCTTGGAACAATTAAATATGATTTACCTGTAGCTTCACACTCTATCAGTGGGTAGTAAGCAATTTAACTAAAACCCTTCTTAACACTTCATTGTCAGCCAGACCACAAATCAATAATTTGGGGAAGGGGGATAAACAAGCAGCAACATTTGCATAAAAACTTGCACAGTGTGCGGTTCTACTTCTCATTTACTGGTAAGCAGTAAAAGAAAACCCTCTGATATTCACAGGATTTCTATGAAAGCTGGTTTCCATGAAGAGACACCTGACTTTCTTTTAAGCATTGAAATGACCTTGCAGAGCGAGAAAGGACAAACCCTATACAAAATACAAATTATAACCACCAACTCAAATGCATTAGGACAGCATGATAGAGCTGTCCTAATGGCATTAAGGCTAAAATTAAAGTCATTAATGTTTCAGTGTATCTGTTGCAATCCCAGCAGAGGAAAATGCATTAAATTGCTTCAGTGCTTACACTTTTGAGTTTGTCTGCTGTTTTGTCTTATACTGCTCCACTACCACATCTGTAACACACTTGAAAAATACAAAAGGATTAAATCACAGTTCTTCATAAATGCCTAATAGTTTAAATCTAAAACTATTTCCCTGTAGTGCCTCTAAACAAATATTCCTAGAATATCTACTATTCATGTCACAAAACTCTCCAAAAATTTTTCAGAGGACTTGTGATTTTATGGTCTTTGAAGAAAAGGAGAACGTAGTTTTCAAGTATGAATTTTCCACTTGAAAAACTTATGCTTAAATAGCGCTGCTAGTTATTTCTTGATGTCATGAGAAAGACAACAGATACCTTACAAGTGCATAATTTTTATTTTCTTCAAAAAATTACACATTTTCCTATGGATGTTGGGAAAGTCTGTATCTCTTTACAAACTTAAAGATTTTCAATCTCCTTTCAAACTCTAAATAAAAGAACAAGCCCATGATTGGTCTTCTACCTCAACATGAGTTACTAGACCTGCAAAAACAATCCATACACAGAATTAGTTCCAACTATGAACAGACAAACAGAACAAAACTTAGTGAAAAAGCTATACACGTTTAGTTCAACTGCATAATTTGGGTGTTTATTTATATATTTAAGAGTCTACTTTAAATCTGGATATTGCTTAGCAGTTATTCTACAAATATGCCAGTTCACCATGAATGAGCACACAGATAACATATCCCTGAGAAGAGAAAATTGTAGGTATATTAAAAAAAACCAAAACTTTTTCTACTTCCTGAGTGACAACTTATAGCAAAAAAAACCAAACAGTTAAAGCAATTGCTACACGTTCAGTTGAAGCTGCTATTTAGTTTTCTACAATAGCTTTTTTTCAGAAACACACAGCTTTTACTTTCATAATAATGATACTTATTTCACAGTGCTTTTCACCAAGGGAGCTGTGACTATTTTACAATAGAAAATATCTAAGGCACAGAAGAGGCAAAAAGATTTATCAGAAAGCATATAAGTCAGTGAGAGCTGCAAGGATACAATTCAGGTCTTCAGCCGGCAGCCCATTGTCCTACTTACCCCATCACACCACCTCAAGTTAATAATAGCTAATACCATGGATTTAGAGACTAATGCTCATAGACACCCCTGTAAAATAAGCAGGTATCAACCTCATTTTACAGACAAGAAAACAGAAAGTGCTAAATTCTTTAGCACTCTGCCTACCTTGTGCAATCCCATTACTACTGTATTGATAACCAACAAAAATTCAGAGAGAGATGCACAGTGTTTTCAGCATACAACTATGTATTCTGAACTACAGAAATCAAAAGACTTGTCTCAAGACAGAGAGCAAGTCTGTAGCATAATTGGACGGAAATGGATGAGTGCTTACCTCACTCTTGTATGCTTAACCCATCCCTTTACCTGCATAACCTCAATTTCTAAAAATCATGTAGGACATTGAATCGAGACATAGGATCAAGCAAAACAGCATGATAAAATTTTCCAATTTTTTTTATTCCCAGCTTTCTAACATGGAGCTTCACAAAAGCACTTTCAAAACATTTTTTTTTCCACAATCTGTATCTTTGCTTTGGCATATTTAATTATTTTTGTGTTCAGATTACTCAAAAGTCTGGCAAAGGAGATAACTCTGACATTTATTATTATGGGTTTCAAATACTGCTCTTAGTTACTATTTTAATTTTCTGAAAGATTTTTAAGGTTTTTAGTGAAGCGGAAACAGGATTGACTCACAAAAGAATTACATACAAAAATCTATACATCATGAAACAAATGAAGAACTGTATTTCTACCTGAAAAATTATAATCAGACCTATGTTTTTTCCATGCAAATGGTGAAAAAAAGAGAGGTAAAGAGTGAGGAGAGGTCTGTAAAATATAAACCATACTAACCCTGAGTAACTGGAATTGTGAGTACCTACGTTCTTGGCCACACTGATAAGACGTTTAAATTCCTGAGTAGTGCAGCTGTCTGAGTCCACAGTGCTACAATAGTTCTTATACATCATAATGACAACAGCTACATGACATCAGTCCTAGCATTGTAATGAAATTATGTAAGCCTCCTAAACATTGACTTCTATGTCTGTAAAAATGAGAGTATTCAAATGTCACGTATTTAGCATTTATACACATTTTAAATAAACACTCACCCAAACAGCAAATGATTTTAATGAACAGAAGTAAAACCATGATCAAGAATAATTAAACAATTCAGCATTAACAGCTACCAAAACAGCATCACAAACAAACCCAAGAGTTTTTATGCACAATGCACAGATAATAAGTAATCACTAAGTCCAGTAATTTCAACAACATGGTCCAGGTGAACCTAGACCGTAACGTGACCCAGGCTGGTTTTAGTACTCCAGCCTCTGCAGCCACAGGGCTTGAACACAAGCAAGCAGGGCAGGTTCTGTCCCTCAGGGAGGGTGCTGCAGAGAGCTGCTCCCCACACCTGAACTCCAAGCCACTCTGAACTGAGCACCAGACACTGCCACGGGACTGACTTGGTAACAAACAGCAGAGATTGATCCAAAGAGTTCTGAGTTTATCTGTCCACCCTGCATCACCTCTGGTTTCACTATAGCCTGCAGTTTCTAGCAATACTGTTCCCACTGCAAACTGCAGGCTCTTCACAACTGAAACAGTGTGAGTATGCACCCCATACCTTAACAAGGTAACTTACGCATACCTGGGCTCCACAATTTCTTCACTGCATATATTTTTCTGTCTTCCTTCATGCTGCATCTGCTCTCAAGAGTGCCCTACTGTTCACACACCCCTCCTTCATGAGCACACATGCAAAGCCATGCCAATACAGCCATACATCCCACAGGTTCTGAAAACTGCACGTTTTATTGTACTTCTTCCCTTTGAAACAGCAATACTCACCTAAAAAGCATTCAACGCACAATATACATCACAGAGACTAGGAGATTTCCAATTAAAATTGTGTTATGAGATGTTAAGTTATTCAGGATAGCACAACTTAAAATTGGGCTTCTATCAGGAACAAGCATAGCTTTACAAGACATAAGGACATGATAATATTTTTTATCTAAATATGATTTTTAAAAAATGCTTGTAAAAATGAATAGTTTACAATATGAACAGAATATCAATAGCATATAGTATAGAGGAAAAACTATTTCCACTCCTTCTTAATTTAATTGTGATGTTTTTTCTACATACTTCAAATTAATTCTATTTTAAGATACACAAACTACCTTGCTGCTTAATAACAAGACTCCTGTTCCAGTCCAAAACTTGTTCTTTTAACACCATGCACTTTTAACAGATTTCTTCCCTTTCTTTGTTCTTGTGATTCTTTTTAAATACATTAGATTCTAGTTCTCCCAAATGTTCACATTACCAATGCACAGAATTGTACAAAATTAATTACTGCATGGCCCCTAGAAACAACACAGTAACAGATCATGCTGAAATTCTGCAAGTTGCTGGGGAACTTGGGAAATTAAGCTCACATAACTTCTGTAAATGCTTAGGCTCAGCTGTATTACAAGCATATTTGGCAAAAATTTTAAACTAAATGCTAGATCAGTATAGATTGCTGGAAGAATAGTATACTTTAAAACCAAATCTGAGACATCCTGATGATCATTTAAATGCTCTTTCACGCACTCAGGTCTGGGCTTATACTGTTATCACTTGAAGCAATGTCCACACCTATGCAATTCCGATGAACACTTCATGCAGGCTTGGGGGTGGGGGCAGGAAATTATTTGTCCTTTTTTTTTTTTTAAGAGTATGGAAAAACCTAGAAGCAACAACTCAGAATAAGATTAGCTTCTACTTTCCCAGACTAGTTACTTTACGCCATTAATAATCCTGCCCCATTTAAACTTCAAAATACCCAAATAATTAAGATATGTTGAGCTCGACAATTTAGTGAGGCACTTGGGAATAATATGCATGTTAATCAGGAACATTAGCTGACAGACTATATGAATTCTGCTTCTCATTACTCAATCTTTATTATTGTTATTTAGAATTGGTTTTCAGTTTGGGGAAAAAACTCCCCCTCCATCCCAAACAGAGATTAATCACTGAGAGTACTTATTCTGAGCTATAATACTCATTTGTTTTAGGGATAAGATGAATCCTTCCATAACCACCAGTTATTAAATAGTTTCTTGCTATCACGGAACAAATAAAGATGTAGGACATAATAATTTCAATTGCCTATCTACAACTCTTAACAAGATGTTTTGACAAGTGGAGGCTTTTCTAGTAGGAAAATGCTGCTGGAGCACAAGGGCTGTCAGAGATGAGAATCAACTATACCTTCTTGATGGCTAGCTCTGCTTTTCTTACCATCTGAATAATTTCCATAGAAGTAAAATCCTCATTTCTACTCACAGGAAAGCTAAATGATGCACACAATATATTTTGAGTCCTTACTCACTATAGGCTCAGGCTAGCAAAGCACAAAGTGAAGACAGATGACACATGCAGGTTTAGTCATGCCATATCTACCACAATACAGCAAACTTGGGTTGAAATGTACCAGACGTAGACTGTAAGAAGCTTTCCTTACCTGAGATCAGCAGACTTCTTGAGCCAAGCCTCTTATTTTATAGATTTTACTGCTGAAAACTCTGGGCCATGAAAACAGATGCAAAAGCACTGTGTAGACCTTAAAATATGCACATGAGATCATCCAGTGTATTCTCACCCCATATAATGAAGTTTTGCAGTGAATGCAGTGAAAGAGATACCAAGTTCTCTCTCTCTCAGACTTCATTATTAAGATTTATTAAGATTTATTAAATTTATTATCAAGAAGCAACCACTCAATTTTCAGTAAAGGTTATCTTTCTCTCTTTAAAATACCTTTACTCAACTTTATAGTACTTTAGAAGGCAGAAACTTAGTTCAGAAGAAGAATTTCATGTAATTCTGTTTCATTATCAAAAAGGTACCAGAAGTTTAAATATATGAATATGCAATATACTTTTAGACTGCCTTTCAATTTTGAAGGTCAATAACCCAACATTTTATCAGAAAGGCTGGTGTTTTAATTTAGGTAGTAAATTGTGGCATAGTACAGTAAACCTTAATTTCTCAAAATGCATATGCAGTTTTATTATTCAACTTGTTCATACATCAAATATTATTTAGATATTCACTCCATCTGTATATCTTACTACTTACGTTGTATACCAACACATGCTCATACATATGCTGCTTCTTTCCACTGTAAAATCAGTACTATTTACTTACATAAAAATTCAAAGAATTAGATCAACACAACTTAATCACAAACCAGCTTTAAAAATACATGTGGCACATTAAAACCTCATTCTCTTCTATTAGAACTCAATTGCTCTCAACAATATACAGATGTCATACTTTGTAAAAAGAAAATTTAAAGGTCACCTTTCAAAAGCTGATTCAGGTCCATGGCATCATGCAGGACTTTTCGACTGTATCTGCGATCAAACTCGGAATCTAATGAACAAAAATACAGATGTAAGATTGGATTTCCTAGATCCATAGGTTTTAGAAATTTTATGTTGTACTTAAAGTCTTCAAAATTACCATATAATTCTTGGTTCACATTTTCCTGTCTTTTTATTTTCAGCTTCCTCTCATTTGATGCTGCAAGTTCAAAAGACTGGATAGGACTGATGTCTGGAGTTGACAGAGGTGTTACGTCAGTTACTGTGTCTTCAGACTCCTCCAAGTAGTCACCGAGCTTTGGTTTTCCTTCTCCTAATTTAATTGCTGACTTGAATTTTTGTTTTGGAGACAGAAGGGTGTTCCTACAAGCATTCCTCTTTGAGGAAGAATGAGATGAATCTGATAAAGAGCTATCGGAATCTGTATCAGAACAATCCGTATCTGAGCTTGAGGATGAGGAAGAGGAGGAAGAGGAGGAGGAAGACAAGGAGGAGCTGATATTAGTATATTTTTTGCCAGCCTTTTTTATGTTGTTTGACTGCTTAGCTGACTTTGGCCTAACCTTCTGTTTTTTGCCATCATCACTACTATCTTCTTCATCTGTATAATAATCTTCTTCACCTTCTTTAACTATTTTGGGGATTCCACCAGGAATATTCTCATGTGTTCCCTTACTTGCTGCAGATGTCACTCCAGATGTACCTGCATTCTCCAGAACTGGAGAAAGTGGCAAAGATGAAGCATCTCCAAGATGGTCTGTGCTGTTTTCTAGGGACTGATCCTTCTGCAAATCTTTCTGTTTTTCTTCACTTTCCTCCTCACAACACTTGGCATCCTTTGAATTAGAAATCAAACCAGTGGCTGCAAGAGCTGCCTTTGTATTTTCTTTCTCTACATGTTCATAATTTTCTTCATCTTTCTTCTTCTCTTCTTCAAAATCACTGTCAAAGAAAGCATGATCCACTTCACCATCCAACACATCTTCAAACCGGTCCATACTGAAATATGAAGTGGTGCCTGCAACCATCAGAAAAGGTTTCCAAAGGTTAGCATAAAACCAGATTCAAGTACACTTTTAGTATAATACTTTTGTTATTTACTCGTTTAGCTCTAATAATTTATAATTCTGCAATTAATTATGCTGTGTTGCTAGGGACAGCTCTGTAGTGAGAGCTACAAAGAAATGCAGTGCCATCTTATTGTACACAGCTTACACGTTAGACTGAAAAGCTTTAAGCCAACAAAACCAATCACGATTTCAAAACTTTTACTCCTAAGGAAATTAGTCAAACATTGTTAGCAGCTAAAGAGTCTTAACTATGACAAACAAGCAACTAAGTGTCTTGTTTAGTTCCTTTAAGCTAGAGCCACTAATGAGCTGTCATTAGTTTGGATTTTGAATTAAAAACCTTGTTTGTATGTAGTGGTCATCATCTTGGCTGACACAGCCATTTAAAACTGTAGACTGCAGGAACAAGTTCAATTTACCTCCCAGGATCCATGGCTCTGTAGGTTAAATTGTAATAGATATAGGGTGTGTCAGTGTTAATGTTTTAGTTCGGATCAGGAGCCTGCTTTTCTTGACAGTCCTCTGTAACTCCCACTGCATAGTACAGTGAGCAAACTTGATTCTTTCAGATGAAACTAACCTTTCAAGTGTGCTCCAGGCATGAAACTACTGTACTTAAACCAGCAGTCACCTTTCAATCCATAGGACCAGATTATGGCTAGCCCAAAAGGAAAAAACCCAAATACCTACAGGGTGGATATCAAGTCCTCAGCACTAACCATTACACTTTACAAAATCTTCTCCTATTGCATCATACTTCTTGCAGAAATACTCAGTGTTAGATTCTCTGCATGTGGCAGGGTGGATATGAAAGTTTCTACTCATTAATAGGATAAAGTTAAAACAACAAAAAAACCCAAGAAAAACAAAGAAAACACCTTACAAACAAACAAAATTAGTCAGTATCAAAGACTACTGCTCCCATCTAGCCAGCAGTACTTTTCTCCTACTATTTACAACAGATTTTATATAAATTTTGTAAGCTGTAATCAATAAATACATAACATTCTTTGAAGCCAAGGAAACAAAGAACTACAACAGTGGAAGCAACTATACAAGGCAGGAGAACGAGAATATTTTACAATTATGGATGGTCTCCCTTGAACCACGTATAGTTTGTTGCCATGGCAAATGAAGGTGAAAAAGGAATTCCTAGGCTTGCTTTGAAACTGCAAGACTATCCCCAAGAAAACTTCTAGCTCAAATTACTTCAAAAAGGGGATTTTTTTTTTTAAAGGTCTATGTCACTCAGTTATCTTGTCACTTCTCAAATAATACTCAGTTTTAGGAGAATTTGAAATATGCACCACAAATACCAAAAGCACAACATTAACCTTAAAAGCAGAAGGTGTGCAATCCCCTGTGGTTTTAAGATTCACAAAGCCAAAGAACTAAAAAAAGACTTAATAAATTTAGATGTTTCATAAAACTGAAAATGCTATTAAACAATAGAAGCAGAGGACAACTTTGGTGCAATGAAGAGAAACTCGTTAAAGCACCTAGCTCCAAGAGCAACACAACAAAGGAGTAAAACACTTGGGAGCTCTTAATTTGAAATGCTACATGGAATTTGGAAATTTTTCATATTCACTTCTTGTGAACCCTGGTTTCAGACAGCTTGCATAGTCTGCAATGCCCAAATGTCACATGAATTCCTGGAAGTTTTCCTAGAGCAGCATCCTAAAAGGATAATGCATTTTAATCTATCAAAACATGCACAACAGGAAAAAAAAAACCCACAAAACAAAACAGAAGAGAGTAACACATTATTTACATTTTTCTACCTCATGTAACCTAAACCAGAAAGGAAACAAACAGAATTTTTTTACATTATCTGTAGACTTTTGACCATGAATTATTTGGAGCAGGTCCAGAGAAAGGCAATGAAGCTGGTGAAGGGTCTGGAGCACAGGTCTTATGAGGAGCGGCTGAGAGAACTGGGGTTGTTTAGTCTAGAGAAGAGAAGGCTGAGAGGAGACCTTATCACTCTCTACAACTACCTGAAAGGAGGTTGTAGTGAGGTGGGTGCTGGCCTCTTCTCTAAAGTAACAAGTGATAGGACAAGAGGAAACAGCTTCAAGTTGCACCAGGGGAGGTTTAGGCTGGATATTAGGAAAAATGTCTTCACTGAAAGAGTGATCAGGCATTGGAACAGGCTGCCCAGGGAAGTGGTGGAGTCACCATCCCTGGAGGTGTTCAAGAAACGTGTAGATGTGGTGCTTAGGGACATGGTTTAGTGAGTTAGGTGGTGTGGGTTGATGGTTGGACTTGATGATCCTTGAGGTCTTTTCCAACCTTTATGATTCTATGATTCCATTTATTCAGCACATACAACTTGGGCAAAGTCAATTCTATGACAAAAATGAATATAGGAAGCTCAGTGTTAAAATTAAAACAAAACCCCTTCTTCATTATGCAAGCTTTTATTACTTAAGGCACTAGCATCTCACCAGTATGTAGCTTCAGATAGATTATAACTGGTAAAAGCAGGCATATGGCAAATTTCACTTGTTTCAAACACATAGATAATACTGTTAGCACTGTGTTACATATAAAAGTGTAAGATGATAAGGCAAAAAACAGGCCTGCAGGTGGATGCAGACCAACAAGTGCAATTTGAAGTATAAAATTTAGTTGACTGTAATACACACATCCACATATTTTTAGTTTTTGTAACGCTACTCCTACAAAGGAGACTAAATTAACATTAGCTCATTGGCTATAATGTAATACGTGCTCACGACACAGTTCTCAGATGTCTCTTTTCTGAACACAATCTCCGAAGTGAGGACAGGATTCAACCCAAGACAGTGGCAGAAGGGCAGAGCAGAGGTGGTAGAAGATGGTAACAAGGAGCCTGTGCACTGCTTTCCACCATCAGCACCAGCCAAGGAGCACACATCTTTCCACTCTGCATGACACAGTAATTAGCTTACCTGCCGGTGGGCTGTTTTCCATGAAGACTGAGCCATAACTGACTCATGAACAGCAACCTCTGTTACCAGTTTAGCAGTCTGACCCTGCTTAAGGAGCAGCAGTCATAACACTCATCATTTCATTGCCAAATGCTCCTTCCACTTTTCTGGCACAAACCCCTAACGACTTTAGCCTTCATCTTAATGGAAAACAGACATGCTGTGTTGGTCAATTTCTCTCACTGACACTCTTAATCATTCACAAACTAAACATTAATTAATCTTGTAGTTTCCATTAAAAATAAGAAGAAATAGATGAAGAGATGATATTTTTTGGTTCCTATTCCCCTTTAAGGGAGCTGGAATTTGCCAAGAAGTAATATAGAAGAAATTTTGCTGATACACCACGCCTAAATTAATAAATTGGCTGTGCATGCGTGCACACACACACACCCCTTTATATACAGGGCAGAGTGTAATTTTATTCCTGTGAGAAGTACAGAGTTCTGCTATGTTATCAACTGTTAAAATACAGAATCAACAGGTGATATTATAAAATACCAAGAAAACTGTCATTAATGTCAAATACCTATCATTAACTGCTAATTCTAATGACCACCGTATTTGTGGCTTTCTGCCATGAAACCCTCTAACACAAATACAATCAACGCAAATGAGCAGATTGTCCATTAATGATTTGTCAGACCTTTTTTTAATTGTAATATTTCCTCTCCCCACCTATTCTCTACCTCGCTCCCCCTATTTCTTGTAACAGCCACCTATTACCCAGCCAAGCACATCTATTCATATTTGTCTCTTCCTCACTGCAGTTCCTCCTAGTTTATATCACTTTTTAATCCCTTCACCTGTAAATACCAAATTTGACTCATTTAAGACCAGAAAGCAGCAGACAAGTAGCCAAGGAGAACATGCAGTCTGGCTGCCAGGGCAGTAGGGAACCACACTTTCTTGTCAAGAAGTTGACACACTGAGCATCTGACTACCTACCAAGACCACATCCATGTTCTCACCAGCCAGTCACTGCAAGACCAAAGACCATTCAGTTCCTGTACAGGCCAAACACTATCTGCTGCTGCACTGCCCAAAGGACAAGCAGCATTTTGACATCCTCCTCCGTGTCAAAAAAAAAAAAAAATCAAGATCTTATTCATGCTAAACATATCCAGTGTTCTTCCCCTGCCAACTACAGCACCACCTGAAATATTTTTGCAGGTAATGCCTACTGGCATGGCTGCAATATAAAATATCTTACACAAAGTACATTAAAAAAAGTGATATAGTGAGGATACAGATTTAGATGTGGTTTTGTGTTTGGACATTTACTGCCTTTTGGTAAGATTTTCTGAATGTTAGAAACTAACACAAAGTACATTAAGTATACAGTGAAAGATTCAAGATGTTTTAACCTTGGTTAAACTTTAAAGTTATTCAATCAATCTCTCACTTCTTTAAATGCAAGACCATTTGAAATACATGCATCAGAGAGCACTGAAATAAATCACAGAACAAAAAGAAGAAATTCAACATTCAACATACAAGCAGTGATCAGCTTCCTTTTCTTTTAAGCACTCTACTTTCCTAATTGAGGCAGAGGATGGTTCATATAGAGAAGAAAGCATATTTTTTTTCCCTATCTAGTAACATACAGATTCCCAGCATGCAGAACACCACACTCTGAATTTGAATGCTATACATCCTTAGAAGGCCCCAAGTGTTTTCAGGACATCTTAAGATTCTGGTATTTAACAAAAGTGGAAAACAAGCCCTTTACACATGCTGTGGGCTGAATCAGAAATCTGTGACATTATTGTGGGCATACTGTGCATCACCACAAAGGCCATAACACAGCACAGCTATAGTACACTCAAGATGAGTCAATTATGTGTTTCCTGCAACAAAAACGAACAGACATCACCTTAGGATGTATTAACAAACATATATGTAAAGTACCGGAAGCAATAATAATGTTGAATTCAGCTCCAATAAGGCACC